AATAGAAGTTTAGTGCATTAGACAAAGAAGATGAAGGGAAGGGAGCAGAGATAGGAACAGGAAAGATAGTGGAATGAATCTGACATAACTTTCCATTTACATATATGAATATGCCACAGTGAATTTCTACATTCATGTATAACCACCATGGGATCCTAATTAGAATAAGATGTACTCCATGTTTGTATAAATATGACAAAATATATCCTGCTGACATGTAAAACTTAAAAAGAACAAATGAAAAAAGAAAAAAAATGAAGGAAAAATGAAGATTATTCTAACAGTAACCGTAAGAAAGTTGGAAAGGCTATATAGCAGACAATATAGACTGTAAAATAAAAATTTTTACTAAAGATAAAAGGGGTATTTTATAGTAACAAGATAGTCAGTGCATCTGGAAAGTAACAACAGTTGTAAAGAAATATACACCTAAAAACAGAATTCCAAATATAGGCAGCAAAACCTATATATGATTACACAACCAGTGTAACTCTCCATATCATGTATGGCCACAAAAATGGGAAATTTTACTCCATGTATGTATGTATTTTGTGTGTATTTTGGTACATTCTATTGTCGTGTATAAGTAAAAAGAACAAAAATAATAATAAAAAGAGCTGGGGATGTGGCTCAGTGGTTAAGTGCTGAGTTAAATCCCCAGTACCACCACTCCTGTGCCCCCAAAGAAAATCAAAACTGAAGTATGGGACATTTCTACCAGATTATATGCAAACATGACAAATTTTATGCCAACACATTAGATAACTTAATGGACACATTCCTAGAAAAAGACAAACTATTCTGTTTTAAGAAGAAGTAGAAAATCTGAATAATAACATGTAAATAGAATTAGTAATGGAAAAAACTTGCAACAAAAAAGTCAAGGCAGAGACAGTTTCACTGGAGTATTCTATCAGACATTTAAAGAATATCAGTTCTTGGGTTGGTGATATAACTCAGTGACAGAGAGTGGTTGGTTGCCTAGGTATGTGGGAGACTCTGAATTTGATACACACTACAAAATAAGGAGGAGGAGAAGAAAAAGAATACTAACGAAAAAGAATACCAACTCCTTACAAATCCTTCTAAAAATACAAGAGGAGGGAACCTTCCCATCTCACACAGAATCCACTATTTTCCTAGTAACAAAGCCAAAGATATCATAAGAAAACTATTAAACCATTTCTTTTAGGAATATGATGGAGAGGACTTCAACAAAATACTAACCAATTGGATCCAATAATATATGAAAACAATTTCACACCATGACCAAGTGCCATTTATCCCAAGAATGCATTCTTAATGGAAAGACTGGATACTTTCTCCTTAAGACAAAAACAAGACAAACTGTCCACTTTTACAACCTCTGCTCAGCATCGTACTGCATGTTAGAAACAAAGCAATTAGGCAAATAGGTGAATTAAAAGGCATCCAGATTGGAAAGAAAGACATTAAACTGTCTCTGTAAACTGACTCTATTGATAGAGGACATGCTCTTGTATATAGAGAATCCTAAGGAATCTACTAAGAAACTGTTAGAAGTAATGTAAGTTTGGAAAGTGTGCTGGATACAAGATTAATGTATTAATCAGATTAAGAAGTAGAAATCAGTCCTATTTGTATATAGTAGTAGTACTGAGTGAGCCTAAAATGAAATTAAGGAAATAGTTCCATATACAGTAGCACCAAAATTAATTAAATAAGAACAAATTAACAAAAGAATTGCAAAACTGGGGTTTTAGCTCAGTGGTAGAGTGCTTGCCTAACACATGTGAGGCACTGGGTTCGATTCTCAGCACCACATAAAAATAAATAAATAAACGTTTTGTGTCCATCTACAACAAAAAAATTTTTTTTAAAGAATTGTAAAACTCATACTCTGAAGACTGACTATACATTATTTGATGAATTTAAAAACTTCAAAACTTCCTACAAAACTGTAGTAATCAAAAACTGATGCTGGGATAAGGGTAGCATGTAAATTAATAGTAGAATAGGGTGTATTCCAGAAGTACACCCTCACATTTCTAGTCAGTTGATTTTTGCTAGGGGTGCAGTGAGGAAAGAATAATCTTTTAAACAAATGGTACTGAGTCATCGGATATCCACATGCAAATGAGTAGTTGTACTCCTAACTCACTATACAAAAATTAACTGAAAATGGATCAAAGATCTAAATGTAAGAGATAAAACTATAAAACACTTAGAAGAAATGAGTTTAAATCTTTGTGCACAAAAGCATGAGGAACAAAAGAAAGGTAAATTGAATGTCATCAGAATTAAAAACCTTTGTGCTTCAGAGGATGCCATCAAGAAAGTCAGTGGAATAAGATGGTTTGGTCCAGACTCAGCCTGCCTCCCTTCTTTCTTCTCCCCACTGTCCTGGTCTCCCCATCCTCCAGGCCAGTTCCAGGCTGGGTTCTTACTCTGTGACCCTCATACTGCTCTAGTTTCCATTTTTCTGGGCAGCTGCATGGGCCACTCAGTGTAACATCTAGTCACGTATTCTCAAGTCTTTCTTTTTTCTTTTTTTTCCCCAGTGATGTTGCTTACTTCCCCAGTTGCACTCTTGGGGTTACTTCAGGATAGAGCTGTCTAGGGACAGGAGCACAGGTGGTATAAGGCAGAAGATGGGAGCTTTGGCCCTATGAGTGTGTCGTCACCATGATTTCACATCTTGGTGCTGGGGCTCAGAAAATGATACCCTAAAGTGTGAATACTTTGGCACGCTGAGCTGGAGAAATAGCCTCAGACCTAAGATCTCACTCATCGATTCCCCACAATTGCCATCCCACCCCTTAGTCTCTCAGTCCCTGTTCATCCTCTTTCTTTCCCAGAGAACAGGGAGATGCTTTCTCAGAAGTTCACTTATCTGACAGAGGACTTTTTTGGAAAAGAAAATGCAGTTGTCTTAAACCCCTTCTCCAGGTATCTCATCAGATATCCAGAAGACATGAGCACTGGAGAAGAGGAGAGGAGAGTCTGAAAGTTGTCATCAAGCCCAGACACATTTTTCATCTATTCTTCTAAGGGCTGCTGAAGAGATTATCTGAGAGACTTTATCTACATAAGACAACTTGTATTTGCAGTGAAGTTCTATCCCTCAACTTCCTATAACTTTGCTACCTCTGCCAAGCCATTGTCTGTTCTTTAGGCTTATTCATTTACTCTAAAATTTATTTACTACCCCTCCAAAATTGCCAACAGTCACCTCTGCCCATTTCCCTCTCCTCTATGAAGAGGGTGTTTAGCTCCAAACATCTGTCATTTCTTTGAGTTTCATATTTGTGTGGATTCTTTGTTTATGCACTTAATGTTAGTCAGCTTTTTCATTTCTGTGACAAAATACCTGAGATAACCCCCTTAAGAGGAAGAGTTTATTTTGGTTCACAGTCTCGGGTTTTAGTTTGTAGTGGCTGGTGTCATTATTTTGGGGCCTGTGGAAAGGCAGTACATCATGGTAGAAGCATGGGGCAGAAGAAGTTGCTCACATTATGGTGGCCAGAGTCCCAATATCCCCTTCAAGAGCATGCCCTCAGTGACCTAACTTCTTTCCACTAGGCCGAGCACCACAGGCTGGGCACCAAGCCTTCAATATGTGGACTTTTGGGGGACACTTAAAATCCAAACCATAAATTTACATGTTTTTTTGCTATTAAACTATTTTCAGATCATTTCAGAGAATCTTGGAGGGCATAAGAGAAATTTCTTCTACCCTTCCATTAGTTTTGTGGCCTTACATTCAGTGCTGATCCTTTCTGAACCTATTTCCTTATCTGTAAAATAATGATGAAAAAAAAATAATCCAGTGCATTCATGAACCTGGTGTGTCATTTGCTTGGATGCTCATGTTCCCCAAGAGTCTTAGCCTAGTCACCAGCAGTGTAAGAAAGACCAGTAAGTACTGTGACTTACTGAAAGCCCAGGTTTTCCTTCAGAGAGAAACAAGAAACAAGATACACATTATAGGCTTGAAGGTTATAGATGTTTCACAAATTTATACTCTTTTTTTTTTTTTTTTTTGCTTTAAAAGAGTAATATGGGGGCTGGGGTTGTGGCTCAGTCGTAGAGTGCTCACCTAGCATGCTTGAGGCACTGAGTTCTATCCTCAGCCCCACATAAATGTAAAATAAAGATATTGTGTCCACTTAAAACTAAAAAATAAATATTAAAAAAAAAGAGTACTATGGGGCTAGAGTTGTGGCTCAGTGGTAGAGTGCTCACCTAGCACTCATGAGGCACTGGGTTCCATCCTCAACACCACATAAAAATAAAGTAAAGCATTCACCTATACCTAAAAACATTTTTTTAAAAAAGTAATATCATGTTTTTAAAATTTCAAGAATTAGAGAAAAATAATCACCCATGCTCCTATAATATTGTGATTCTTGTTAGCAGTTTTAATAGTTCTTTTCTGTTATGTGCATTTTTCACTTAAGTGAATGTAAGTTTTTTTTTTTTTAATCATACATTACTTGTATATTTTGACAATTTTGTGACCTACTTTTCCACTTGGTTGGTTTTTTTTCCTATTGTTTACTTTTATAAATAAGGAAATAATATTTTTTTGTTTTGGGCCACTTATTAAACTTCCTTTTCTATTCTGATATATTTTATATCTACTGGGATTCTAATATATAATGGTAAGCTTTAAGATGCCATTAACTGTATACTGACTATGCATGAAAATTCAATTTTTGTTGAAATAACAGCTTTAATAATTTCTTAAAGTAGGGATTTATTATTGCTCCTTTTTTTTCTATTTTTATAAACTAAATGATGGACTGGAAGTCATTTAATGGTAAAACATGTGCTTAGCCTTTGCAAGACTCTGGTTTCAATCCCCAAAATCTGAACCAAAAACAAACTAAATGAAAAATAAAAATATGGCTATAAAGAAAAATGTGGGTTTTCTAGATAAAAAGCATCGGCACCTACTAAAAAAAGGTTGGATAATGTGATTTATTTAAACAGTAATGACTTCTTTTATTTAATCAAAGGTCCATTTTAGCTTCTTATCTTCTGAAGGAAAAACTCAACATCCTGGGCAAGTTGGGGTGTCTGCTGAGCTGTGCAGGTTCTGTCGTGCTGATTATCCACTCCCCAAAGTCTGAGAGTGTGACTACGCAGGCTGAGCTGGAGGAGAAGCTGACGAATCCAGGTAACTCCTTCCTTGCAGCCAAGAGCAAGAGTGTTTGCCCAAGAAGTTCACACTTCCTAAGCCATGGCTGCAGTCTGGCAACTTCCCCGTGGTGTAGGCCAAACCTGTATCCACCCTAATTGGTCCACAGATTTGCATTCTTTGTGCTTCACGTACATGTGTATCACTTGGCTGTGTGTACGAGCCAGTCACAGCTGTGCAGCCTCCCTGAGCCTAGCTGGCCATGGTATGTGTGCACAGGTCACTCCCAGACCACCTGGTAGACCCATTCAGCATAATGACAAGCCAGTGCCTTATCTCAGCCCTCATCCCTGAAGGGGCTTCCTCTGCAACCTGGGTGCAACCAGAGCCATGAGTGGCTCCTCCTGACCTCTGGGTATCTCTCTCTTCCTCCACTGTCCCTCCTCCACACCCCTGCCCTCAGATCCCTGACTGGGTTAGGTGCATCTTTTCATGCATTGTTCCTTCTGTGGGTCAGCTAGTCTTGCCCCCTCCCTGAACTTTTGTCCCAATGGCAGCAGCCAGCATCTGCCAACTCTGTTCTGTCCCCACTCAGTGCTTCTCTCTGATGTGCAGCACTGGGAGCAGAGACCCCAGTTGTGTGTGCATATATTTGTGTTTGATATATAATAATTTCTAATTTTTTTGTCAAATAAAAAACATTACATAAACACACCTGCCTTAAGTACAGATTACTTCTAAATTACTTCCAGTAGACTGTCTTGTGCTGCTTACCAACAATTTTAGACAGGTGGTGGCACAAAATTGCCTTCACACAGATGCCTCCAGGCCACAAAATGTGGGAACCCCTCTTTTGTAGCTTTCAATTAGAAGTGATGAAAGTAGCAACAAAAACATTTGTGAAAATTGAAAATGGGGGCTGGGGTTGTGGCTCAACAGTAAAGCACTCACCTAGCATGTGTGAGGCCCTGGGTTCAATCCTCAGCACCACATAAAAATAAATAAATAAAACAAAGATATTGTTTTATTTATTTTTTATTAATTTGTAGAACATACCCAATGGCTACTTACTTTTTGATACATGTGTCCAACTACAACTAAAAAATAGACATTTAAAAAAAATTGAAAAAGGGATCCATAGTGAAATTAGCCAAGTCTGTGTCTCCTTATGGAGTGTGGAGACTCTTACCATTGTGATATTCATTTATTTCCATAAAAGCCATAATATTTTGATACTGTAAGATATAAAAGTACAAAGATGAAGGGAGGAAAAGACCAGAGAAAGATTACAGAAGTAAATGTGAGTGTCCTGAAGGCTTTTGTTATTGGTGGTGGTGGTGGTGGTGGTACTAGGGATTGGATTCAGTGGTAAAAGGATGCTTTACCACTGAGCTATATCCCCAGCCCTTTTTATTTTGAGATAGGGTATTGGTCAGTTGCTGAGACTATATTTGAACCTGGAATTCTCTTGCCTGAACCTCCTTTGTAGTTGTGAGTTTAGTTGTGAACATACCCAATGGCTACTGACTTTTTGATAAATGTGAATAATGCCAAAATATATCAGATCCTAACTTATTTACATGTTTGGAATTTATATGTACAGTTGTAAATTATATATAATATGTCACAATAAAAATTAGGTATGAAGATACAATGATAGCAAAAATTTTTTCTTTTTAATGTGAAATAATATAAAATATAAAATGGTATTATTCTGGGCACTTATTACCTTATAGATTTTCTAATATTTTTTTCTAAAGGTAAAAATACAGGATGAATTTTTGCCTCAGAAGAAATTTAAATTATCACTTATATTTTATATAAGAGATATGTGCTCTGTCATATTCAAAGAGGGTAGAAGTGAGGGAAATGTAGTGGAATGTTTTCCAAAGAGAAAATATCAGGACTGGGGTGTAGCTCAGTGTTAGAGCATGTACTTAGTGTGTGAGACCCTGGGTTTAATTCACAGCACCACTAAAAAAACAAACAGATAAATATAAAGAGTGAATATTGTGAGGCATGCATTCTCAGTGATGGTAATATCACCCTCAGCTGTATAATAAATCAATGATACAGATATTTCATAGTGGTGAGCAAATGGGAGAAAGGTATAAAGTGGTTCCTAATATGGGTGATAATGAAATAAATGCTTGAGAAACACAGATGTGAAGAAAGAGCCACAAGGCTGAAGGGCATCTGGTGCCTGCTCTAACCTTAAAAAAATAAGAGGTGATGATCACACGAAAATAGGTTTTCCTGGCCATGCATTTTTATTTCTGCATAGCCCAGTTCGCACACATAGCTGCTGAGGCTTGTCGTTCAGCATCCCCTCTGGCTGCTCGTGTGCTCAGTCCTGCCCTCTCAACTGAGTTTGCTACTGTTCCCCTTTTCTTCCTGCCCCTCTGCACCACTTCCTCCTTGGCCACCACTCCTGCCATCTCAGCTGTCTTGATACCTGGGACCTATCTGAAATGTTGTCTGAACTTGTCCTTCCCAGCATCAAAGCCCTTTGCATTCCCTCTTGCCCAGACTTCTCCATGTTTATGCCCTGCTGCTTTCCTGACACTGTGCCTGCCCACTTGCATATATTTAAGTTGCTTCCAAACATGTAAATAAGTTAGGGTTCCCCTAGACCTGCCCGAAGTTGGGCAGTATTTTCTTTTTGCATGAGCCTAACTGTGCCTTTCCTAATTTGTAGCTGAGACTTCCAGGCTGCTTTTATCTGACCTTCCAGTGTCCCTTCTCTGGAGAGTCTCCCTCTGTAGGCCCCCCAAGAGCAGGTCTTCATAGTTCACCCATGAGGGGCAAAGCTCCCAATGCCTGTCTTTTGGGTTGCATGTTCACACTTGTTGATTTGTCTGCCTATCTGGTCTAGTTTGCATGTCCAGGCAGTTTCCAGCCCTGTGAGGGACAATTTGGGAATTAAATTCATGCAAAATATAACCTCCTATACACATAATTTTAAAGCAATCAGTATAATGCCTTAACTGAATATAAAGGAAAAGTAGCAGGATGCTACTTTGCAAAATGCAAATGCTTAGGTACATCTGTACAAGGCATACTGAACCCAGCCAACCCTGCACCATGCCAGGCATCAAACCTAGGGCCTTTTACATGCCACTCAAGTGCTGAGCTACATCCCCAGCCCCTATGAATGTTTTAATGGTAAACATAATGATGAGGAAAATGCACTTGCACAGTAGAGGGGTGGCTAGTGGGAGCACAGGCACTGCCTCAGCTTTGTCTCCTTGGGTAGTCACTGACTGGGGGACTGCCCAGGTCAATGTGTGCCATCTGTCTTGCAGTCTTTGTGGGCTACCTGTGCATCGTGCTGCTCATGTTGCTGCTGCTCATCTTTTGGATTGCCCCAGCCCATGGGCCCACCAACATCATGGTCTACATCAGCATCTGCTCCTTGCTGGGGAGTTTCACCGTGCCTTCCACCAAGGGCATTGGGCTGGCAGCCCAAGACATCTTGCACAACAACCCATCTAGTCAGAGAGCCCTGTGCTTGTGCCTGGTGCTCCTGGCTGTGCTGGGCTGCAGCATCATCGTCCAATTCAGGTACATCAACAAGGCTCTGGAGTGCTTCGACTCCTCCGTGTTCGGGGCCATCTACTATGTGGTGTTCACCACACTTGTCCTGCTGGCTTCAGCCATCCTCTTCCGGGAGTGGAGCAACGTGGGTCTGGTGGACTTCTTGGGCATGGCCTGTGGATTCACGACGGTCTCCGTGGGGATTGTCCTCATACAGGTGTTCAAAGAGTTCAATTTCAATCTTGGGGAAATGAACAAATCCAATATGAAAACAGACTAGGATGCAACCAGGGGTTGGGGGCTTGAGGAACAGGCCTCAAAGGTGGTCTCTGGTCCTGATTGGATGTGAAGTAGAAGAGACCCTCAATCCCTGATGTGAGAGTTGCCTGTGTACTAATGGGTGGTCGAGTGGACAGTGGGGAGCCTGGCTCAGCAGCAGAGCAGGGGCCCAGCCCTCTGTAGCCTGATGCTCCCAGTGGTTGCCTGGGCATCATCTCTCTCTGATGAGACGAATCTCATTTTCATTTCCATTAACCTGGAAGCTTTCATGACTACTCTTTCCTTTTAAAACATTTTAACATGATTTAATGAGTAAATAAAGATGGGCTCTTTCTGGTTAGTCTTTGCAGGAGAGCAGATGTTCTTAATTAGAAGATTACTCTGGAAATGAGAAAAATTCTTGTCTTGAAATCTGGCTCTGTACAGTAAATGTGACTGTTGTTGTGTTAGTTTGCATTGAGCATGTATAACATTCAGGTACCTCATTCACATAAGAGGTATATACATTGAATTGTTTTTAATTCTCTAACAAATAGGCTCTCTCCTGCACCCACCCAAGACATTTTAATAGCAAATAGAGAGAGAACAGTTAATGAATGTGATGCAGTGTTCCATTGGCAGGATGACCTTTCAATAGCTCAAATCAATTTCAGTGCCTTTATCACTTGAATTATTCACTTAATTTGACTATTACTGTATATTCTCTTAAATTAGAATAATGCCACTTCCTTGGTTATACCTTAACATTTCAATGTTCAAATTATAAATAATTGTAAAGCAATTAGAAATAATTGTGTATTCATTGGAGGAGAGTCAAAACTAAAGGCACATGAGCAGATTGACCCACTTAGCATGTAGTTATTGTCCAAGTAAAGACAATTGATTAAGTAGCATGAGGTATTTTATTTGCATTCAACCTATGTAATTGGGATCCAGTATCAAATATATACACATTCTCTTTCAGCAAGCATTTGTGGCCATCCAGAAGAAATAAACTATTTAACTTTAATAAGGCTATTAAAGGAGAAAAAATTGTTTAATAGCACATATGTAGAACCCTTTTTAATACAGAACCAAGTTGGAACACACATAGTTTCAAAGGAGTTTCTAACAAAGATGGAAACAGTTTGACCTTCTTGTTTCAGATGTAGAACATTCTTGAGTTCCTCACCCAGTATCTCACTAAATTTCCTGAGTGAGCACGAGGCTCTGGATTTGATTCCCAGTGCCAGAAACAAAACAAAACAATTCTTAAATGTAAAATGGCAATTAATTATGCCAACATTTGGATAAAAGAGATCTTTCTTCTGTCCATAACAACCTTCCATGTGTATTAGACTGGAGCAGAACACAAAGTGATGCAAAAATTTCATCACTATATTGTATGATTCACATGCAGTGTTTTATCTGAATAGGGAACTATGCTAAATTGAAAGGTGGGCTTGGGTAAAGTAGATTAGGTGAAATACAACTTGAAATTTAATAATATCCAACTATAGTTACTTTAAAAAGGTGTTTTTTTCCAGGCAAAAAGAACATTTCTGAAGTAAAAATCCAAAGAATACCTCCCTAAAGTTTTGAACAGAGACCAAATAAAATGAGACTAGTTTAACATGAAGCAAAAATATACCTTTATGAATTAAAAGTACATGTGATGATCCTGGTTTGTCAGTGATTTGTGAAGAGCAGCAACAAAATAATTTCAAAAAATTTAAAAATCTTATTAACTGGTAGTTAATAAATATTCCAAATGTCCATTCCTCTTTCATCAGCTCTTTAAGGTTATTTTTTTAACACTGGCATTTTTAGAAATATTACCCTTCATTTATTGAACTAAAAGTTGCAGTAATTTTGGCACAAAAGTAATTTTCTAGTTAAGGAGATGTTTGGGAAAGAATTAACACATAATTATTCAAGAATATAAGAAAGTTCATAATTTTAAAATTATGTTTTGCTACAACTTACATGTGAAGCTTATTTAAATGCCTCTATTGGTGTACCTTTCTATATTTTAATCCACAATTATCCCATGGATATTCAGAGTTGTGAATTTCTGGATGATATTCCCTATAATTTTTTTTTAGACTCAAACAAAAATCTCACAGTATTAATAGCTCTTCTGAAGGTGACTGGTCCTGGAACAGAATCTCCCAGATTTATATATATTTAGTAGATTGCTTTAGCAGGATACATAGCTTTTGTTCCAGTAAACAAAGTTCATGTCATTCATTGTTTTTCATATGTGTGACAGTAGCCTCTGAGTAATTGACATGACCAGGGTCTGATGTTCTAAATTTAACATGAAGCACATAAATTCAAATTTCTACTATCATTCCACAAATTTGCTTTTTTCATAATTAACTTGGAAATACAAAGAAAAAAAGGACCCCAAATTGAGAGTTTCAGGGGAGATCCTAATATGGAAATGGATCTCTTATAGGTCTTTCCTAAAGTAAAGCCTGTGAAACATTTTCATTATGATGTTATTCTTTGATTTATCTCTGATAAAACCAAGAGAAATATCTACTGTATATTTATTTTCAAGTTTTTTTTAATCAAAGGTTTTTGATTACAATTTTCAGAATTATTCTTGATAGATACTTAAATAGGCTATTCTCTCCTACTTGGACAATGCCTTGTTTTCTCACGTGAATTCTATTCTGCTTATTGACCAAGTATAGAACCAATTTAGGATTCTTAACATAAACCTAGCCCAAGGATACCATCCTAGCATTTTGCAATCTGCATAACCACTGCATTTCTGTGAGGCCCATGCTAGGACCTTTGGGGAGGAATCTGGTTTTCTGGTGGCTTTGCTTATCACTCAGACTGTCATTTCATATTAGAATGTTAATATAATACACTTTGCTGCTCTTTGTTGAGCAGTAAGAAATATTCTTTTAATTCCTACTTCTTAAGCCAATTTGTTATACTCAGTTTATTCCCAGAAGTTAATTCCAGCAGTAATATGTTGACCTTTGTTATTGTTCTTTGGGTTTTACATTTCTTTTCCGATAGAAGAAAACACTATTCAAATGGGTAGTTACTGCTCCTCTTCCTTCTTCCTAGACAGCTCAGCTCCTGGTAAATACTATGCTCAACTTTTAGAGGCCAGTTTCTAGACTTCTGTAAAGCACTCAGATGCAGTGTCTCCCAGGTGTGGACGAACACTCAGTCAACAGAAATAGGTATTGATGAGTACAGACCACTGCCCTGCTGCATTTTTTTTTTTTTCACAGTGCTGGGGAATGAACCCAGGGTCTGGCACATAGCAGACAAGTGCTCTACCTCTGGCTACATCCCCAGCCCCTGCTATATAATTCTTGGAGGAGATAATACCTTTATCTCTTTCCCAAGCTGCTCCAGTAATCCATAAGAGCAGAGAGGATGCTCCAATGGCTCACAGAACCATGTCCGTAGCTCTTTTCTGATGCCTACTAAGTCCAGGTTAGGGTTCCCAGTAAGACACTAGAAAGAGAATGCTTCATGACTGTGGATTAGCTTCTGTGGTCTGAAGGAGTTATCTTTCTCAGAGTGTTTGACACCAAGGACATTGTTCACTCATCAAGCAGGATTGGATGGAATGTTGGTGTTCCGTCTTCTCAGGGACCAAAAATGTATCATCATCTTTTTAGTGTTGACCTTCCTACCAATGACACCTCTGTTCATTTTCTGTATGTCTTACTCATATTCATAGCTAGATTCTGTTAACTTCAGTTAACAAGAGAAAAGACCAATTTGCATACCAGTCATTCCACAAGCCAATTTATCATATAAAATACCTCAATTTTTTGTATTCCTCATTTCCACTCCACAATTGTTACTGGTGATGAATTTTAAGGGTCTGTCCTTTAGCTCATAGGTGATTTTTCACATCTGGCCAGATTCTTATACCTCCATGTATACTTGAAAAGATTAAGAATTATAGGAACAGGCATGAGAATTTGGCCTAATACCACTGCTCGTTTTTTTTTCATACACATTTCTCATATGCTATCAAATGCAACAAAACAATTCTATTTTAAGAGAATGTAACTTCTGTTACATCAAAATACATTGTCTAGTTTAAAAAGTTGATATTCAGTAGAACAATGATCATGTAAATAAACATCTATTTCAAATGTACCCAAAGCAATTAAAAAGCAGAGTCTAAGGGCCCAGAGAGCCAGGGAGAAGGATTTATTTCTTCTTTTCTCTAATTTTCCCTGAATTGTGCAAATATAGGTGAGTTGCTTAACCTTTCTGTGCCTCAGTTTTTCTACCTCCAAAGGGGTGGGATGGTTCTCCAAATTGATTGTACCTAAAATGCTAGCACTTTTAGTAGTGTTCTGATGGTCTCAGATGAGAGCACCATTCTCAGAACTGCTCTGGAAATGACATGGTAGATAGAACTCAGTTTGCATTGACCATGGAGTCTGCTCAGGATGGTGCTGTAGAGAATGTAGCTCCAAGCACCAAGCAAGTAAAGGAAACACTGGGTGTAAAGTTTGCATGATTCTGTAAAGCTTTAATTTTCCTTTTTTTTAAGGAAGGATTTTATATATTCTATTGTAAAATATGGAAATTAAACAAGGACTTTTAAAACTGCACTGAAAGCTTACATTCTGATGGGGTAATGAGCTCCTCTGATGTTTGGCTTAGGCTGTGTTCTACAGAAGGTTTAATGATCTGTGTGACCAATCGATTCTGTTGCATTGAATTTGTTAGGAATAATGCTAAACTTTCTGCTTTCAAGCAGCTCAACCCTGATGATCAACTGTTTGATACCAGGCGAATGTCAGGAGCTCCCCAACCACTAGTGCCAAAAGGTCACATTGAAAACTCAGAGTGTTTCTTTTATTTGTCAGAAATATTAATTTGCCCCTCCACCTCGTCGGTATTTTTGCACTTTACAAGGTTTAAGAGTGTTGATTTTCATAGCATTCCTGAGTGTTCTTGGCTTTTTGAAGTATAACTATTATTTCCTTATAAAATGTAATATAATCATGAAAGGAGGAAGAAGTCTAGATTTTAAAAAATGTCAAATGTTGATTGGTTGCATTCGAGTTTTTCCATGTAAATGTATCAGGGGAGCTTCCAATTAGCATACATACATACACACATTTATCAGTGACTAAGATTTGCTTATGTTTTGCTTTATAGAAATAGTCATAGCATGTTGTTATTGCCTTATGTAAATAAAAAGGCTATTTATTAAGTTTTCCAATAATATTTATTAATCTGTATGTGTTTTAAAATAAAATAACTTCTTTCTAGTGGAATACTTGTTGATTTTTCCCTTTGCTCGGAATTCTTGTGTAGTCTCAGGTTCCAAATCATCCCAGATCCTCACATTTTTCCTATTATGTCTGCTTGTGCATCTATCTGTCTTGGTGCAAATCCATATATGGAGGACATATCTTCTGATTGAATTAAATGATAGTACTATAGAAAACCAGCTCTATTTAAAAAAATGTTTTTTAGTTGTAGTGGGACACAGTGCCTTTATTTTATTTATTTATTTTTATGTGGTGCTTTTATTTATTTTTATGCGCCTCGCTCATGCTAGGTGAGCACTCTACTGCTGAGCCACAACCCCATCCCCATCAGCTCTATTTTAATATGGCTTTTTTTTTTTGGGTACTAGGGATTGAACTCAGGGACAATCTCCTACTGAGCTATATCCCTAGCCTTTTTCATTTTTTTGAGACAGGGTCTCAGTAAGTTGCCCAAGCTGGCCTTGAACTTGTGATCTTCCTGCCTTAGCCCCCCAAGTAGCTGGGATTACAGGTATGTGCTACCACATC